CTTGTGTAAGAATGCTCTGTTTCAACGGCCCCCAAATTAAATTATGTGCCGCATGCATGAATATGTATATATGTCTCGATGCATTGAGAACGCTTTATATTTCGCTGTAGCAATTTGCAAGGACACCAAAATTATTTTTCCCTGCCATTTCATTGTCTACATTTAAGTAGGCCGTGTACGTGGTTGACTAATGATGCTCGATCATCGGAGCATTAGCCGGTAGTGTGGTTCCTGCGACTGTTCGTTCAAGTTCAGTCGGTGCATCAATCTCAGCAATAAAAGCGTTATAACAAGAGAGACTTGACTATATATATTTTAGCCTAATTACGTATAGTGCGTGCTCTAGCTACCAAACTGGTGTACCAATTAGTTAGCGCATCCCAGCAGATTAAGTGCAAATTAAACGGTTGCTCATGCGTGCAAGCATTTGATCAAGAAGTAGCTTAAGCTAATTAAGCGTCAACATTGACCGTCTCTTAGCTAGCAAGGTGCATTTTACGTAGAGTTGTCTTCACTTTTCCTTTAATTTGTTCCCTAGGTTTAGTTTAATCTATACAGCAGAAATTTTACATAATTTTTATAAAACAAGTTCAAGCTTTTATAGGTCCTACGAATTAATTTCCTTTTCTTTTTCCAAAAGAGACTATAAATTTGTGAAACTCGACTTCGCCAAACAGCTATCACACCGGTTTAGGGAAACATGTTGTATTGGATAAAAAGCATACCGTATTCTTTAAAATACAACTCCAACTACTGTTGTAATATATCTGCAGAAGTTGGTAATATCATGGCAGGAGTAGTTTACCTTTCCAGGCAAAATATATACATGTTATGATTTATGTGTATTAGGTATTTAGACTCAAAACTAGGTAGTTATATGTGTAGACAAGTTTGGTGGCGTTAGCTTATCTCAGCCATCCGTGCCCTGCCAATTACCAAACGCGTAGCACGAGGCCACGACGAGCTACCAAACCCACAATCGCTTTCAGTACTTGATTTTGCTAGGGTCACCTGTGAAACCTTACCCCCTGCAAGGACTTGGTCCGGCACCGTCGCATTGAGTGTTTGGCTTCATATGAATAATTGGTCAGAGAGAAATGTGCATTAATTAGTAGTACAAAATTGTTAAGGAGACCAAAACAGGTTCACAATTTATACTGATATTTTAGGACTGTACAGCAGTAAGCTAATTAATCAAACTTTGTTTATCCTTCGCATTATATATCCATGTGTATCATGAAAACCCGGTCTACTCTTTTATACAATAAATATATTGTCTCGCTACCTGCATTTTGCAGGTCGTAGAAATGTCAAACTCGAAAATCGAAGTCAACTTTTGTGCACTTCCTACAGTGTTCCTTGGATTGGATAGGAAAGAATGTAAGCCCATCCAAGATATTGAACATGGACTTTTTTAGGACAGATGAATGACATTGTACTAACACCTGTTTTGACTTTTCTTTATTTTTTTTCCAATATGGAAGACATATGTACGCGGACACCACACTTACATACTCGCAAACCTCACTAAAATCCAGCATTATATATTTAACCCATGCTATTGCACTACTGCAATTATAAACTTGTTCTAACTTAGGTAGAAGTATTCAACCCCATCATCTAGCCTTCGGTTTGTAAATATAAGTATAATTTTAAATTTTACAACTTTATTTTAAGTTGATTTGGAAGTTCTTTTCGCTGTAGTTTATTCAAGTATTTACTTCTAAATTACTGAAAACACATATATAAACATTATATTTGTAAAGTTAATTTTAATTACTAATAAACGGCTTGTTATGAGCAAAATGATTATATGTTTTAACCATGTCACTGTAATTAGAAACAAGAAATGTGGTTGATCCATTTCTGCTGATAGAAATAAGATTATGTTCATGGCAAAGTAACATATAATATCATTCCTGACTGGAATATGTCTAACACAATACTAAGGATTTGTTTAGTTCACGCTAAAATTAGACGTTTGATTGAAATTGAAATGATGTGACGAAAAAGTTGAAAGTTTGTGTGTGTAGAAAAGTTTTGATGTGATGAAAAAGTTAAAAGTTTGAAGAAAAAATTGGTAACTAAACCAGGCCGCTATATTCTAAAAGGCAAATTTTGCTACAGGACACGCAAAAAACGTGTAATTGGCTGAGGGACACCGCAAAAACGTGACACTACCATGGACACTACAAAAGTTGTGTAATTGGCCGTAGGACACCGGATGCATTATTTTATCATTTTCGAGGTGAAAGAGGGGAGAGAAATTTCTAAATGACGGGAATGCCCCTCTACTCCTTCTTCCTTTCTTCTCACTGCAGCCGACATGTGGGCCCGCGCACAGTGTCGTCCTCCTCCTCTCGCCAACGCTCAACGTCGGCCGCCCCTTCTTCCTCTGCCCGTTGCCTCAGAGTGGCAGTCTCTCCATCTCCCCTGTCTCCGCCGTGTCCACCGGCAAGTGTGGTAGGTCACCGTCGCTGCCGAGCCCGGTCATCAGCGAGGGCAGGGATGTTGAGGACGCCGACCCCAACCTGCCTGGCTTCTTCAAGAACCCCTCCCGCCTCTCCGACAACGAGATAGGGGAAGACGGGTTGCCTCTTGCTGCCGAGCCTGATGGATTTCTTGGACATGACGAGGGGGGCGATGCGCCGTCAGAATTTGATATTGCCGCTGAATTGGACGATCTGGACATCGCTTGATGTCCCCGCTGCGGAATCCGGTGGGGTAAGCGCGGGTGTGGGTGAGGGTGTCGCGGAGGAGGGAAGGTGCGGGTGGGGCGAGGGGGGAGGTGGTCTGGGTGTAGGCGCGTCGACAGGCGAAGGCGACGGCGGCATCGAGGGCGGGGACACGGCCGGCGTTGAGCGTTGGCGAGAGGAGGACGATGACACTGTGCGCAGGCCCACATGTCGGCTGCAGCGAGAAGAAAGGAAGGAGGAGTAAAGGGGGCATTCCAGTCATTTAGAAATTTCTCTCCCCTCTTTCATCCTAAAAATGATAAAATAATACGTCTGGTGTCCTAGGCCAATTAGATAGGCAGTGTCACGTTTTTGCTGTGTCTCTCAGCTAATTACATATTTTTTTTATGTGTCCTGTAGCAAATTTTGCTATTTTAAGGGGGTGTTTGGGAACTAGAGACTAAATTTAGTCTCTCTCACAGAATTATAAGTCCCTATGGTAGGGACTTATATTTTTGTGAGAGGGACTAAAGTTTAGCTCCACTTTAGGTGGTGTTTACTTCCAGGGACTTAACTTTAGTCCCTGTCTTTAGACACTAATTTAGAGTATTAAATATAGACTACTTACAAAACTAATTACATAAATAAAAGCTAATTCACGAGACAAATTTTTTAAGCCTAATTAATCTATAATTAGAGAATGTTTACTGTAGCATCACATAGGCTAATCATGGATTAATTAGGCTCATTAGATTCGTCTCGCAAATTAGTCCAAGATTATGGATGGGTTTTATTAATAGTCTACGTTTAATATTTATAATTAATTTTCAAACATTTGATGTGATAAGGACTTAAAAGTTTTAGTCTCATCTAAACAGGGCCTTAGTCCCTCCAACCAAACACCACCTAAAGACAAAAGAAGTGACACGTGCAGAGTGAGGGAAGCTGGCCAGAAATCCAGAAATGATCGTGAGGGCAGTTGCGTAATTAGACGAGAGAAAGTAAGCGTTCTCCTCGTGCCACGTTTCCCCTGGCCCCTCCTGCATAGTGGGGAAACGCGTGTCCCCAACTAGCAGCAGCAGCAAACGCAATCACCTGAGAATATACCGCACCTCCTCACTGACCCGTGGGGCCATCGTAGATCTGGCCCCACGTGTCACTGACCAGCAGGCTACGTGGAGGAGGCACACGTGGACGTTATCCGCTTCCGGTTTCCGACGCCAGGCGTGAGCCTCGCTGACGTGCCCGTCCCAGCAGCAGCTCAGGCAGATGCACTGCAAGGCAAATGTTGGAGTACGAAGTACTATCCATTGCACTTTTTTTTAGAGGAGGGTATTTTTTATCGGTCGCTATATCAAACCGATATATACCGCCTTTATCCATTGCACTTTTATCTAACACAATTTAACCATTTAAAAAAATTATCAATGGTCAAAGTCGAAGCAACGTCGGGCCAACAGTGAGTCAGCCACAACTGACAAGTGTATTATGTAGCTAATTCTCAAATTTTAAATTTGATTTTAAGTGTAAAAATAATCCTTCATCAATAACTTTGTTCCATTATTTTTTACTAGTATTTTCCTAACTTTGTTCCATTATTTTTTACTAGTATTTTCCTATGATTAATAGGAAAAAAGTAAAGATGCACGTAAATTTTTCTCAAATATCAAAATTCAAATCAAGATTAAATTACAATTAGAAAATGAGCAAAGTACACAGGTGCCTATATCTAAACTTGTATAAGTGTGTCATCTAGATCGCTAAATTCTTAAAATGTAATATGCAAGTCTCCAAACTTTGTCTAATGAGTGTCATGGAGATCAAAATGCTGTCTAACCCGCTCTGTATATGCCACGGTGGCGCATACGTGTTAGCCAGACCTCTATATTAGTCACATAGAAAAAATAAAAAAAAACATCTTCTCTATGCACGTTTTTTTCCATAGCCTCGTAGACCTCCATTATTATCCACCACGAGGATAACAAAGTGATCAACTCATTGGCCACAGGCAAAAGCAGCCTAACCTTTGCAAAACCGGATTCGGACACCAAAGCGAAGCCGCCTACACTACAGGGGCAATTCCGTCCAATCCAAAACCCGATCCACAAACGAGAAAACCGCGCGGGGCCCCACCGCCCCGAACCGTCTCGAACCCCCCCACCCCCGCCCTAAGGCCTAACGCCGTCAGTGACACACCCCCTACTCAAATTACCGAAACACCCCTCCATCCCCGCCTTGCCGTCCGATCCGCCTCGAGATTCGCAAACCGCTTCCCAATACTCCCTCCACCCGCCGTTATATATTGACGCCTCACGCGAACGGCGGGAAAGCGTAACAGAACAAACTAACTTCTTCTCGAGAGAGGAAAAAAAAAAAAGAAAAACCAAGAAGAAGTCGAGGAGAAGAGAGGAAGAGTAAAGCAGCGCGAGGAAGGAAGGCGAGTCTGCTTTGCGGGATTCGCCCGTAGTAGAGTTTGATTCCGCCGGGTTGGTTTGGTGGTTTGATCGGGGGAGGAGGAGGAGGAGGATGGTGGTGCGGGAGCCGGTGGCGATGGAGATACCGGCGGTGGAGTCGTCGGCGGCGGGGAGGATGCCGCCGAGGATCAGGCGGCGGTTGCTGGAGGGGAGCCGCGTCGGAGGCGGGGCGCCGACGAGCGCGGAGGAGATCGAGGCGAAGCTGAAGGAGGCGGAGCTCCGGAGGCAGGTAGGTGTCCCTGTCCGGGTTCCCTTTCCGTCGCTTTTTTTGTTTTTGTTTTTCTTTTCTTTCATTTCGTCCTTCGCGGTGGATTGTGGGGGGACGAGAGTGAACTGTGAATTCGAAGCTTTTGGAGCCTTTTGATTTAATTTGAGTTGCTTTGTTTCGGTTTCGAGTTTCGTAAGAAATGTTTTACTACTGATTAAACCATAGTGCCCTTTACATGCTGATGAACAGTTCAGAGTGGTGGTTTTGATGAATTTCGCTGCTATTTTTAGACTAGGATTAGTCCTTAATTTTCAGTTTTTTTTTTTTTGGGGGGGGGGGTACTCACGACCAGTTCTTTCTTAATCACTTATGTTCTACTTTAATTGGAAACTTATTTTGGCTGATTAGTGGAGACGCAAAGTTGGGATTACGTGGAAGGATTTCTGTGCAGTGAGGTTCTTTTTTGTTTTTGGTGGTTGGGATTCCTGGTGGGGAGTTGAAGTAACATTCTTTGGGGGATTCTGTTCTTGGTAGGTAGTCGTGAGATGAAGTTGGGTTCACGTGTGCCTCGAATTCGATTTCTTTTCCATTCGATTTTCTCTCAGCCGCATGATTTTGCGGCTCTGGATTAAAGCGTACTTTCCCCATATAAAAGGTCCCGTTTTTATCTGTTTGTTGGATATACACTGCACTAATAATTTAATGCAGTATATAATTATCTTTTGGTTTCTACCTGCGGTTTGCTAAAGAGTAATCAGTGGATATCAGTAACATATTTAGTTGTCTGCATCGAGTTACGACAGGTTGCCTGTAAAATAATTTCTTTTTTTTATATTCAAATTAGGAAGATAATATTTGTTGTAGAAAAAGGGTCATGAGCAAACAATTCAGCACATGGTGTCCCGTCGGTGAAAAGATTATGGTAGTTTGGTATGAATAGTTTGTGTACCACCGACCACACTTGGATTCGCTTAGAAGTTAGAAGTAACTTTCGTCGCACTTGTAGTACTGAAAATTTGGTGACCAGTAAGTAATAGGGGTGAAACTTTTTTTGGTTGATGTGATTTGGTAGGTTCAGTTCACTTGAAGTTTTTTTCTTCTTCTTTTTGGGACCGTATCGTATGACTCGTATTTGGGTCTAGTATATTTGATTGATTTGTTATTAAGATGTTGGTACTGTATTTATTGATAAATGATTGATCAACATAGCTTATGGTCATATGTTGTTTGCACTTTGCAGCAATTCCATGAATGGGTGTCCTGCAAAGCGAGGAAGAAGCCGCGGAGCCCATCATGGTCATCACAAGAGGAAGATCAAGGTCAGCGCCTCGAAGCGAAGCTTCAGGCCGCCGAGCAGAAAAGGTAATGAAAAAAAACAGTGCCTGATATTAGTTATTTGCGGTCTTATGCAATTAGAGGAGCTCTGAGAGTCTGATACTAATTATTTGTATCTTGCAGGTTGAGCCTCTTGGCAAAGGCACAGAACAGGCTAGCCAAGTTGGATGAACTCCGACAAGCGGCGAAGAACATCGTGGAAATGCGGATCGAGAAAGAAAGGGAAGAACTCGGGACTCGAGTCGAGTCTCGTGTTCGTCAAGCAGAGGCAAATCGCATGCGTCTTTTGCATGCACATATGCAGAAGCGGGCGGCAATGAAGGAGAGAACGGCGCGGTCCCTTGTGCGGAAACAGACATCTGAGAGGAAATACACGGAGCGAGTCAAGTCTTTGATCTTACAAAAGCGCAATGCTGCTGAAAAGAAGCGACTGGCATTGCTGGAAGCTGAGAAGAGGAAAGCCCAGGCTAGGATTTTGCACATCCAACGAGCTGCCAAGACTGTATGCAGCAAGAGAGAATCAGAGAGGAGACAGTTGCAAGAACAGCTAGAAAGCAAGCTTCAGAAGGTATGTTTGTTCTCTCATATTATACTCTGATATTGTTGTTTTAGCCCTTCTATTCTATTTCTTACAGTTAAGTTAACTTAATGGAACAGGCAAAAAGGCAGAGAGCTGAGTACTTGAAGCAGCGGGTAAGTCCCCGTAGTTCTGCCCATGCTGATTACATCAAGCATGCAGAATTTCTTTCAACAAAGCTGGCAAGGTATGGTGTCACACAGTTGATTTTTGGAATATTATTTTCTTGCATTTGCACATGTGAAAGTTTTAACTAATTGGCAATGTTTTTTCCATTTTGTTGTACTTCAGATGCTGGAAAAGATTTTTGAAATCTAACAAGACAACATATGCACTGGTTCAAGCTTATGACGCCTTGGGAATTAATGAGATGTCTGTCAAATCTATGCCATTTGAAAATTTAGCTATGTTGATGGAATCTCCAACGACTCTCCAGACCACCAAGGCAGTGCTTGACCGGTTCGAGAAACGTTTGCTTCTTTCTCAGCCAACTGGTTCATCATCAGCCGAGAACATTGATCACCTTCTGAAACGCCTTGGATCTCCAAAGAGGAAGGCACCTGCTAGCAGATCTAGGGTAGCTGCGAAAAAGCCAGCGAAGGGTTCCGAGACAAGCAAGCTTTCTAGATACTCACTGCGGGTAGTCCTCTGCTCTTATATGATACTGGCTCATCCAGGTGCTGTATTAAGTGGACAAGGGGAGAAGGAGAATCTACTTATGGAGTCAGCAGAAAACTTTGTTAAGGAGTTTGAGCTATTGGTTAAGACAGTACTTGATAGACCAGGAGGTGCCTCGATGCAATCGACTGATGCTGCCAGTCAGAAAAAGTTCAGGACTCAGTTGGCTGCTTTTGATAAAGCATGGTGCGCTTACCTTTACCACTTTGTTGTGTGGAAACTGAAGGATGCCAAATCATTGGAACAAGATCTTGTCAGGGCTGCATGCAAGCTTGAGCTGTCAATGATGCAAACATGCAAGTTAAGTTCAGATGGGCAGTCACATGACCTTTCTCATGATATGAAGGCAATTCAGAAACAGGTTACTGATGACCAGAAGCTGTTAAGAGAGAAGATTCAGCACCTGAGTGGCGATGCAGGCATCGAGCGGATGAACTCTGCTCTTTCGGATACAAGGTCAAAGTTCTTTGAGGCGAAGGAAAACGGAAATCCATTAGCAACATCTGTTGCAAATGTATCTACTCCTTTGAGCATTAATTCATCTGGACAGGTTCCAAACCCTACTTCCAAGCCTACTGTGGAAGGATCAAGTTTCACTGCCCAATCTTTGCCTGGAGCTGCTTCATCGTCAAGCAGTACATCTCCAATGAAACCGCCGACGGACAATGAGCAAATGGTCAATGAGATGCTTCATGAGGACGATGTTTCTTTTGCTCGCAACTCTGATAACGTCAGTTCCGCGGAGAAGGACTTTCAGGCCAAAGTGAAAGCAACGATGGAGAAAGCCTTTTGGGATCTTGTTACTGATTCGATGAGAGGGGACAAACCAGATTATAGCCAATTAATTAACCTCGTAAAGGAAGTCAGGAATTCGTTACATGAGTTGGCCTCAAATGAGTTGAAGGAGGAAATTCTTGAGAACATTGACCTCGAAATTTTGTCTCAGGTAAGGACTCGGTGGTCTTGACAAAATAAAATAGTTAGTATTAATTTGCTTTTGTTAAACCCGGTATATTTTGAATTAATGTTGTTGTTATTTTTTATGGATGAAAGGTGCTTCAGTCAGGCTCCCAGGACACGCGATATCTGGGGCAGATTTTGCAGTACTCCCTGGATATGGTCAGGAAACTATCTGCCCCTGCAAAGGAAGATGACATGAAGAGGAGTCATGAGAAATTGTTAAACGAGTTGGCTGCAAGTTCCGAAGTTAATGACAATGGTATCAGCTCCTTTGTCATTGCTGTCATCAAGGGCCTGCGTTTCACTCTCGAAGAAATAAAGGTTTGTTCCTTGTTAACACCTTGAATTAGTCCTGACATAGATTGCACTTACATTGCGCCGTGTTTTCCTAACATTTTTCTGTGATTAACAGCAACTGCAAACTGAAGTTAGCAAGGCTCGCATCCAGCTCATGCAACCAATTATTAAAGGCTCTGCCGGAGTGGAATACCTGCAGAAGGCTTTCACGGATCGCTATGGACCTCCTGCTAATGCATCAGTGTCTCTCCCTATAACTAAGCAGTGGGTTTCGGCAACGAAGAGCATCGTGGAACAAGAGTGGAGCTCACATTTGGAGTCTCTCCAAGCTTTGCCAGCAGATCATGTAGGTTTCTACGATCAAAACAATTTACAGTTGTATTAGCTTAGGCAGCAGTCTAAGTTTTTCTCTGACTGACACGAATTTATCCCTTATTGACAGGCTCAGCACGTTGTTCCGGTACTTCGAGCTGGTCACGGTGCTCCAGCGCCGCAGGCTTCTTCGTCTGCAGCTAGCAGTTCTGGTCTCCCAGAATGCAAGGGTGAGAAGATCGACAAGCTGACAAGGGTTGGCTTGTTGCAACTTATCAGCAATGTGGAGGGCCTGAACATGCAGTCAACCCCTGAGACCTTCCAAATTAATCTGCTGAGGTTGAGGGCTGTGCAAGATCAGTTTCAGAAGGTGATAGTGATCGCGACGAGGTAAATAAATATCATCCCCCCCCCAACCCCCAATACTTTGAACTAAACCGGTCATTCAGAACAATTGATTTCTACGATAACTGAAATCAATTTACCATGTCTGTCTGTTCCAGCATGCTTGTCCTGCATCAAGTTCTGATGTTGAAGATCGCTCCTCCGGAGCTACAGAATACCATCTCAGAGCTCTACGACGCTCTCGTGAAGCTCCTCGACAACAACGCTGACGCATCAACGAAGGAGATCGTGGAGGCGATGACGCGCTCTCTGGCCTCGGTCGGCTCTCTGCCGGAGGAACAGATTCAGGACACGACAGAGCTAGCAACCAAGATGCTTCTCAAGAGCCTCCAGGCCGGCGACATCGTCTTCGGTAAGGTGTCCCGGGCGGTCTACTTTGCCTTCCGCGGCGTCGTCCTCGGTGGCGGCGCCAAGGGCAAGAAGCTAGCCGAAGCGCCGCTGCGACGCCTCGGCGCGGCGAAGCTCGCCGACAGGGTTGTCAAGGCCGGGGAGGTGCTGATAAAGATGGCAGTCATATCAGAGAAGGTCCATGGACAATGGTACAAGGCGCTTGCCTTGTGAAGAGCAGAATAGGGTTTGTGTTGTTTTGTGAATATACATTACGGATTACGGACTGTAAATTCTTGTCCTACCGGGGTGAGGTAGGAAATATTGGGCATTGTACATAAATTTATATAGGTGTTAATTGGTAGGCTGATTTCAGTGTCAAAAATTAATTCTGGGTGCAGGGCTAATATGGATGACCCTCACCCCAGAATTTAGCCAGTGGTTAGATGTGCTGAATTGCACCTGGGTGTAAGTTAAATCTGATGTAATCTATTTGCTCTTGGAACTGAAATAATGTGAATATTTTAATTTAAATATTGTGATGTAAATATTTCGATCGGTTGTGCAGTGGGGTGATTGAAATTTGGTTGGCATTCACCAGAAATCCTCCTTTTTTGTTCTTAAGATCGTATAGGTGTGATTAACTTCTTACAGAAATATAACTTTTACAGTATATTATACTATGAGTATATACTTACATTATATAGAAGGGTATGTTAGGAATTTGACAGAAAGTGGAAAAGAGCTTTCTACGTTTAGAATTAATCCAATCCAATAAATAAGATTCAGTTCGTGCGCTCGCGAAAGACGACGGCACGCTAGGCGGCGGTGTGATTCGTCCCCGGCGTCATTCCTGTGCTCGCGAGCGACGGTGGTGCGCTAGGCAGCAGTGCGACTCATTCTCTTGGCTGTCATTCGGCCTTACTCCATGTGTTTCCATATGTTCTCTTGAAACTTGTGTAATTGTTCATGCAGTTGAGCACATGAAGGATGTTTAGAATATAATTAAAGATGGCACAATTTTCATATCTTCCCTTACAAGAAAAGGCAGTACACTTATAACAATTCGAATGTGCTTATCTTGTAATATTGCTAGTATTTGCTTGTGAAGTGCTGAAGATTTTATAGTACTGCTTTCAGTACCATGGAATTGTTTGGTTTTATTGTACTGAAAATTCAGTTTATCATCTTTGCTTCTTAGGTATCACATTCACCAAGTTCAGAAATCATGCATATCAAAAAGAAGGTTCAGAAGTATCTTCAAATATGCAGTCCTGAAGCAAATGAAGAAAACAAGTGTGTTTTTTTTTCACTTTTGGGAACACAAGCCAAAAGAGCAAATAGCTGAACTGTTCCGGCATGAGCATCCGCCATCCGGTCATGATGCCTTTTCACTTAGGCTCCCATCGGATGGCCTAGATAAACCAAAAAAAACCAAATTTTAAATTTTCAAACTTAATTTTGAGAACGATTTTGAGATATTTTCAACGTAGTTTTTTTTTTCAGCATTGGCTTTTAAGTCACCAAGAACACATATATAAAAATTTTATTTACAAATTCATTTTTATTCCCTAATAAGCCGTTTTGGCGTATTAGAAAAAAAGCGAAACGATGACGCCCTTAAATTCTTCCGTCTCGAGAGGGAGAAACCTCATTAAGTACCCAGCCTGGTTGTGGCGTTGTGCTACTTGGCCGTAGTCATACGAGAGTCGAATCAGCAATCAGATACGATCATACGAGGCCGTTGTCGCCGCGGGGTGGAAGACAAAATCTGCCATTGAGTACACGACCCTCTGCATGCATGCTGCTGATCTTCCTCCTTGAGCGCCGTCGCGTCCGCCGTGGCTGCTCCTCCTCTAGATAGCGCATGCCTTGGGTTTTTTGGTGGATGGGAAGGCAAGAAGAGGAGGAGAGGAGAGCGAATCGATTCCCGTTGGCGGCGGCGCGGTGTGGTTGCGGTCGCCGGCAGTGGTGGCACGGCGCGCGTGGATTCGCTCGTCGCCCGTAGTGAAGAAGAAGGAGTGGGGAGGGCCGAACGACAATTTTCTTTTGTCGAGCGGTAAGAAAATACGTCCACGGGATAACATGCAAAGTCGAATTTACCCTTTAAAATTTTATAGTACAATCTAATTCAATGAAATATCAAATCAATCTATACCGTTAGATCGGTTATACTTGTAGTATATACTGTTAGTATATCTATCTTCTATCTATCTATCTATCTATCTATTATATACTAAAAGTCCATTAAACTCCCTAAAAACGCTTTCAAACCGCCACATGTCATCCTATAAACGCTCATAAGTCGCCACATGACATTCTAATAAATAATAGAAATTCCTAGAAATTCTAAGAAAAAAACAAAACATCTGTCCATCTGTTTTCATTAAAATCGGTGGACCCATTATTTCAAGCCGTCAGATTTATCTAAAAAAAAAATCTTTCCACCTCCACCTCCTTCCTCCCACACGTAACATCACTTTCCCTTGTATATGTAGTCACGTATAAATATACAACAATTGATTTACACATGTACAGGTGTAGAATAGATTAGATCAAATCATATTAAAGTAATTAATCCCTCTCTTCTAATCTCATGTGTATTTGTGAGAGAGAAAAATAAATCTATACTATTCATCCGGAGAAAATATATGTATGTATATATGCATGTACATGAGATTATTATTTGGAAAAAAAAAGAAAACATGCATATGTCCGTACATAAAAAACACCATATCTTCCTACAAATACTCCTAAACCACCACGTGTACTCGTAAAAACACTCCTAAACCGTCATGTGGCATTCTAATTAACCGGTGGACCCACTATTTAGATTTTTAGCTATTAGATTTAAAGTTATATAGTGGACCTAATATTATACGTCATTAGATCTATTTTTTTTAAAAAAGAAAATAGCATCGATCCCCTCCCGTCCCGCTTAAGTACATTTCCATTTACGTGAACTCCATCTGTGTACGCCTTCCCCTCTGTTCATTCTCTCTCCTATTTTCATGATTTTCATGCTATTTTAGTTAGATGGAAATCACAATTTATAATAATATTTTTTTAAAAAAATAAAACTAAATCACCGTCCTATAAAACTAAATCACCGTCCTATACACTTTTGTAGAAACAGACGTACGCCTCCTCCTTCGTGTTCCAAGGCCGGTGTCCACCCTCCTTTTTTTATATATTATTTAAATTCAAACTAGACCTTATTATTATATCAAATATATTTTTAAACCTTTTGATTAACAAAATGCACTAAAATTAGAATAATTTAAGTAGTTTAATTAGAAAATACAACACCCAAAGTATTTTAAATTAGATCTAATATTAAATGTATTTATAAAAATAGATAACTCTAAATTATAGTGCACATTCGATCTATTTTAAAAACATCTAATCTCCTCCCATCATCCTGTCTTTCGTAATGCCACTCTCCTCCCACTCTGCCTCTCGCATCCTCTCCTCTCCAATGCAATTATCGCCTCTTCTATATTTTTCTAACTAACATAATATAAAAATAGTCATAACTATTATTTTATTTATAATTAAACATTCATTAGCTATATTTTGCTATATAAAAGTTAAAATATATCATTTGAAGGTAGACCCTACCGTTTGCATGAACACTAAATAAACACGAAAATTAATTGAAAATATGTATCGTGTTATACTAAATCATTGTACACAATCAAAATCAATTAAATGCCCTCCGGAGTGTTCGTAAGTCACCAACTACATAATTAAAACAACCAAAAGCTACATATATGGAATACTCCTATGCTTTTTAAATCCGTGAAACCATTATTTCTAACCATTAGATCTATCTTATATATATAAAAAAACAAGTGTGTATTCATGGTACATCATATTTTAAAAATATTACTGCGTAATTATATTTCGTCGTTATCGTATTCATGTTAGATTGCGTGGAGCCTCTCACTCACTCTATATGAAATGAATGTTCAGATGGATCATCTCTCAAACTACATTAATCATTTTAGACTATATAAACCCATATATTTACTGGAGCTTCATGTCCCACCCAATTCATCCTTTAGTAAACTATGATAATATATACGCAACTAAAAAAAGAAAACCAACTTACTTTTACTGACATGTTTTCTGAAGAAAATAAGTCTACCTTCTTTTCAAATAATGAAGAATATTATAAATAATTGCTTATAGATATTACTTAAATATGATTAACATAAAGCTAATAGGTTATAAACTTATAAAAGCAATTAATGCCATGAAAACAATTTATAGAGAAATCATGGGAGGTGTTCTCCGGTTAATATTTCACTTTTATAAGTATCTTAAACTTAACGTACGACATATGCCCATGCATTCGTGCGGGCTACCTTTCTAGCTATACTTTAAAAGTTCTCTATATCTATCGCTACTACTATTTACAAAGTAGTATAAAAGTGCTGATATTGTTCATTCTTGGATATACTACTAGGCACCGTACAATACTATATGGAAAGCAAACAAGTATATAAACTACTAGGCAGTAGCACAAATTTTGACAATTTGACCCTTTGCAAAAAATAATTATACAAATGAACCGTAGCCAAAACTTATTTCAAAATTACCCTTTTGTTCAACGCCAAATCTCATGACGCTGAACTTAGACAACTCAGCGCCACGTCAACTGGCGCTGAATGTCGTGCCATCGTGGATGGGAGTATGAGTCGGCGTGCCAACCTGCATTCAGCGCCATGCTATTTGACGCTGAGGTGTTTGAACAAAAGGGTCGTTTTTAAAATAAGTTTTGACCACGGTTCATTTGTATAATTAGTTTTTGCAAAGAGTCAAATTGTCAAAATTTGTGAGGCAATAGTGTACATACTACTTCCTCCGTCCCAAAATGAAGCCATTTTTTAGGTTGGCATGGGTATTAAGAAAGTAGGTGAGAATAATTAGAGGAAGTGTGTGATTGGTTGAAAAGAGAAAGTAGGTGAAGAAGAATGGTTGCGATTGGTTGAGAGGAGGAGGTAGGTGAAGAAATAGCTTTATTTTGGGACAAGATACTGTGCTAGAAATAGCTATATTTTAGGACGGAGGGAGTATAAAACAAAAAGTTTGTACTTGTGTGCCGAGAAAAAAAAATACATATACTAGTAACGTGCTTCCTCAACCATATCAAAAAATTTGAACCTGCGTATGTAACGGCCGGAGTGCATGCACGCAGAAATTAAAAAAAAAAAGAAGGGAACAGTAATTTATTTTTCTCTTTTAATCTAACTATTCATAATCAACTAATGGATATCCAATGAGAAGAGGGAGTACATACACTGTATATAAAAAATATAGATATATTTAATTTTTTATATGTATACATTTTTAGTGAATAAAAAATATATACACGTATATAAACTTTGTAAACGTACATATACAAACTTTACATATGTATTAAAAACCAATAAAAAAACTACAAACTATGTAAATGTGTGAGATACTACGTACCTATACAATCTTTGTAGATGCACATATTAAAAAATAGTAAAAAAGGAGAGAAAAAACCCAAAAAAAAGCGTACGTACACACGTATTAAAAAACCGAAAAAAGAGAAAAAAAATACCGAGAGGAAACCGAGAAAAGAAAAAAAAACCCGGAAAAATAGGGCCTCCCCGCGTCCTCCATCTCCGTCTCGGACCCCCCTCCTCGCCGTCCGATCCGCCTTGGGATTCCCAATCCGTTTCCGAATACTCCCCCCACACCCGCTGTGTATATATTGCCACCTCAAACGACAGAGGAAAGCGTAACACAACAAACCCAACTTCTTCTCTCTCGAGGGAGAGAGAGAAAAACCAAGAAGAAGTCGAGGAGAGGAGAGGAACAGTAAAGCAGCGAAGGAAGCGAGTTTGCTTGCGCGCGCGCGAGATTCGTCGCCACCATCGTCGTCTCGTCGATCGGCGCGCGAGGGAGGGAGAGATGGCGGTGGCGGCGATGGAGCTACCGGCGGTCCGAGCCTACGACGCCCTGGGGATCAACGAGACGTCCGTCAAATCCATGCCGTTCGAAAACCTGGCCACGCTGATGCAGTCTCCGGCGACGCTCCAGGCCACCAAGGCGGTGCTCGACCGGTTCGAGAAACTCTTGCCTCTTCTTTCATCGCCGGTCATAAACATCGATCACCTCCTGAAACACCTTGGATCTCCAAAGAAGAAGAAGACACCACCACCTGCTGCTGCTGCTAGCGCGTCTCGATACTCGCTGAGGGTAGTCCTCTGCTCCTACATGATCCTGGCTCATCCGGGTGCAGTGTTGAGTGGACAAGGGGAGAAGGAGAAGCTACTTATGGATTCAGCAGGAAGCTTTGTCAAGGAGTTTGAGCTATTGGTTAAGACTGTGCTTGAGAAGCAATCGACTGATGCTGCTGCCGGTCAGAAAATGTTCAGTGCTCAGCTGGCCGATTTCGATAGAGCATGGTGCGCTTACCTCTACTGCTTTGTGGTGTGGAAACTGAAGGATGCGAAATCGCTGGAGGACGATCTTGTCCGGGCTGCGTGCAAGCTTGAGCTGTCGATGATGCAGACGTGCAAGCTAAGTTCAGATGGGCAGTCACATAATGGCCTCTCTCATGATATGAAGGCGATTCAGAAACAGGTTGCTGATGATCAGAAGCTGTTACGAGAGAAGGTTCATCAACTGAGTGGCGATGCAGGCATCGAGCGGATGAACTCTGCTCTTTCGGACACAAGGTCAAAGTTCTTTGAGGCGAAGGAGAACGGAAACCCATTAGCTGCATCAGTTGCAAACGTATCTACTCCTTTGAGCATTGGTTCGTCTGGATCGAGCTTCACTGCCCAATCTTTGCCTGGAGCTGCTTCATCGCCAAGCAGTTCATCTCTGATGAAACAGCCGACGGACAATGAGCAAATGCTCAATGAGATGCTTCACGAGGACGATGTTTCTTTTGGTGGCAACTCTGATAACGTCAGTTCCGCGGAGAAGGAGTTTCAGGCCAAAGTGAAATCGACGATGGAGAAAGCGTTTTGGGATCTGGTTACTGATTCGATGAAAGGGGACAAACCAGATTATACCCAACTAATTAACCTCGTGAAGGAAGTCAGGGATTCATTACATGAGTTGGCTTCCAAGGAGTTGAAGGAGGAAATCCTCGAGAACATTGACCTCGAAATTTTGTCACAGGTAAGGAATCGGTGGTCTTGACAAAATAAAATAGTTAGTATTAATTTGCTTTTGTTAAACCCAGTATATTTTGAATTAATGTTGTTATTTTTTTTTTGGATGAAAGGTGCTCGAGTCAGGCTCCCAGGACACGCGATATCTGGGGCAGATTATGCACTACTCCCTGGATATGATCAGGAAACTATCTGCCCCTGCAAAGGAAGATGACATGAAGAGGAGTCATGAGAAATTATTGAACGAGTTGGCTGCAAGTTCCGAAGTTAATGACAATGGCATCAGCTCCTTTGTCATTGCTGTCATCAAGGGCCTGCGTTTCACTCTCGAAGAAATAAAGGTTTGTTCAATGTTAACACCTTGACTTAGTCCTGACATAGATTGCACTTACTTTGCGCCGTGTTTTCCTAACATTTTTTCTGTGATTTAACAGCAACTGCAATCTGAAGTTAGCAAGGCTCGCATCCAGCTCATGCAACCAATCATAAAAGGCTCTGCCGGAGTGGAGTACCTGCAGAAGGCTTTCGCGGATCGCTATGGACCTCCTGCTAATGCATCAGCGTCTCTCCCTATAACTAAGCAGTGGGTTTCGGCAACGAAGAGCATCGTGGAACAAGAGTGGAGCTCACATTTGGAGTCTCTCCAAGCTTTGCCAGCAGATCATGTAAGTCTCTCTACGATCACAACAATTTTTACGGTTGTATTAGCATAGGCAGCAGTCTTAAGTTTTTCTCTGACTGACACTGAATTTTAACCCGTCTTGTCAGGCTCAACGCGTTGTTGTTCCGGCACTTCGAGCTGGTCACGGTGCTCCAATGGCTCAGGCTTCTTCGTCCGCAGCTAGCGGTTCTGGTCTCCCAGAATGCAAGGGTGAGAAGATCGACAAGCTGACAAGGGTTGGCTTGTTGCAACTTATCAGCAATGTGGAGGGCCTGAACATGCAGTCAACCCCTGAGACCTTCCAAATTAATCTGCCGAGGTTGAGGGCTGTGCAAGATCAGTTTCAGAAGGTGATTGTGATCGCGACGAGGTAAATAAATATTCTCCACCTTGAACTTTTGAACTAAATCTGTCGATTCAGAACAACTGATTTTTATACTTGATGCATGTGATAACTGAAATCAATCTACCATGTCTGTCTGTTCCAGCATTCTCGTCCTGCATCAAGTTCTGGTGTCGAAGGTCGCTGCTCCGGAGCTGCAGAACGCCATCTCGGAGCTCTACGACGCTCTCGTGAAGCTCCTCGACAGCAACCCCGACGCTTCGACGGAGGAGATCGTGGAGGCGATGGCGAGCTCTCTGGCGACGGTCGGCTCTCTCTCTCTGCCGGAGAAGCAGGCTCAGGCCACGGCGGAGCTCGCGACCAAGATGCTCCTCAAGAGCCTCCAGGCCGGCGACGTCGTCTTCGGCAAGGTGTCCCGTACGGTCTACTGCGCGTTCCGCGGCGTCGTCCTCGGCGGCGGCGGCGTCAAGGGCAAGAAGCTGGCCGAAGCGCCGCTGCGACGCCTCGCCGCGGCGAAGCTCGCCGACAGGGTTGTCAAGGCCGGGGAGATGCTGATAAATATGGCAGTCATATCAGAGAAGGTCCATGGACAATGGTACAAGGCGCTTGCCTTGTGATTAGCAGAATAGGGTTTGTGTAGTTTTGTTAATGTATATTACAATACGGATTATGGAATGTAAATTTATATGGGTAGGAAATATTGGGCATTTTGTACATGAATTTACATAGGTGTTGATTGGTAGGCTAATTAAATTTCAGTGTGTCGATTCTGGGTGCAGGGCTAATATGGATGACCCTCACTCCAGAATTTAGTCGGTGGTTAGATGTGCTCAATTGCACCTGGGTGTAAGTTAAATCTGGTGTAATGTATTTGCTCTGGGAACTGAAATAATGTGAATATTTAAATTTAAATATTGTGATGTAAAAATTTCGATCGGTTGTGCAGTGGGGTGGTTGAAATTTGGTTGGCATTCACCAGAAATCCTCTTATTTTTTTTCTAAGATCATATAGATGTGATTAACTCTTACAGAAATATACTACATTAGGATTTAGTAGATACCTGTTCCTCCAATATCTCCCGTGGACCCTTAAAAAAAGTACAAATGCAAGAACAAAACCAACTTCTCACGATAAAACAGAATATGAAGATTAGAGCCTAATTTTCTCATTAAAACAAAACATAATAACGAGACAACAAAACAGAACAGTTGATAATAAACAGGTAATGGTATAGATTCATGGAACTCGACAAGGCGGAACAATCATATCCATAGTTCCATACAACGGATGGACCTCTGCACTCTCTTCACTATACAGAGGATTTCTACTGCTTAACAACTCTCAGTTACCCAATCCTCCAAAATGGATATGGGATCATCAGCTTATAGCAGCATGAGTCCACTCGAATGCGATCTTTCCTTCAAGCAGCTCGCCTAAGCCGACTATGTCTAAATGACAGGTTTCCTCTTTTGGTGTATCAACAGCTATCAAGGACCCAAAACAAACCGCTACAAGGGTTCAAAGGGTAGGGAGTAAAAAAGAAAAAGAAGATGTCAACCTATCAAGTATCATATCAACCAGTAAGAGCTCAGTTTTCCTTCCATTTGTTGACATACTTGAGGAATAACATCGAAGGGTTATCCCTTGGTTGGGCCTGTACACGAGAGGATCGCCGCAGTGCAGCCTCTTGGAGTAGCATTTTCTGGGTGACGTCCTTCGTTCTTTTTTCCAGAGCATTGCTACATCGGCCAACACAAAGGTCAATTGCTAAACAAACAGAGCAAAGAGTTTACCATAAGTGTCCAATGCCCACAGGCTGAAAAGTAACATGAGAGCATATGGTGCCCATGCTTAAGGTTTCCTTCATGTTTGAGAAACACACAAAGAACATTTTACTTGTACAAATAAAGACTGCAACTGTAAGGCAAACAGGTCTCAAAAAACCTACACTCAATGATTAATCTTTCAAGATCTATTTTTAGGAGCTTCGATCATGTCTAGCAAGTATAGCGCATCCATTCAGTGAAAAATGGAGGCTACGGTGTGTTATTTAGGCCTTGAACTGAATGTTCCACCAGTAAAGACCATTCTGGACCATTATCTACATTAAATAACATTTTGTTTTTTAAAAAAATTAGATGTAGGCCTTCAAAAAATTGACATGGGATGATTAACTTCTTTCCAGCTAATCTGTCACTTCCAAAAATTAACAGAAGCAACCATCAAACATGTAAAAAGTACCCAACTACAGCAATGAGTGAATTATCTTATATTTTTTTCTTTGAATGAAAATTGAGTACCTTATCGTATTATAGAACTTATCAAGCTGCCGTTTCAGTGCTCTCTCCCTTATGCCTTTAACATTTAACGATCCAATAAGCGCATCAAGCTGTGGATTACAAATTGAAACAGAACTGTTAGCCAGAAAATAAAACATAGGGATTCCCAAAGTTTGCAAAGTGATCACCTCTTCCTTAGTGCTGTAGTAACCCCATTCTTTGGAATCTGCACTTTCGACAAAAAGTCGTCCTTCATGCCTAAAAAACCAATATCTGTTGTAGTACCTGTCTTTTCCAAGGGAATTGCTTTGTACAGATTGTTTCTCCATTTCTGTTCCAAGGTGCCTCTGCTGTAGGAATAAGTCTTGGCTGGTTGGTCTTGGTCTTGTGGTGCCTTTTTTTCCTGCTTTTCAGCTTTCTAGGACAGCATCTCTACTTTCAGTTTGGATGCTCTAGGACAGTTAGGACAGCAGTTTGTTGAGATGCTCTAGGACAGTTTGTTGGGATGCTCTGCTCTAGGACAGTTTGTTGGGATGCTGACAGCACCCTCTTAGACTAGCATGGCTGCATGGCTGCTACAAGCAGCTATAAATATGTATCCAATCCTCTTTGGGAGGACATGGCTTTTGTGTTTAGTGAATGAAGAAAACCAGAAAATTGCCCCATCTCGAGTGCCATCCTCTTCTCAATGAGAGTAACCATAAACATCTCTTGTTCCACCCCTTCCCAAGCTCGGTTGAGCTCTCAGCCAGCAGCAGCAGCAGCAGCACCGGTTGCCCCTCCTTCCCCTTTCCCTTCCCCCTCTCCACACAGCAGCCCCCCGGAGGTGCGCCATGTCCGACGCTCGGTCTCGGCGTTCGGTCGCCTCGAGCACTCGGCGTCAGCAGGACGCCGAGCTCGCCGCAGCAGAAGAGCGCAGGCGAGCAACGGCTCAGACCGCTGCAGCAGCAGCGAGGGCGGCCAGACTGGCGGCAGCGGAGTTGGCAGCAGCCAGGGCGGAGGCGGAGGCGGAGGCGGCGGAAGATGCGGCACGTGCGGCGGAGGTAGAGGTTGAGACCTTGCGCAGCAGCATCAACGGCTCCATCGCCGGCGACATCACCGCTGACAGGGAGCTTGAGGAGCTGGCAAGAGGAAGGGCACGGGAGCGAGCAGAGCGGTGGGCAGCAGCCCACCTCCACGGCGGCGGCGGCGGCCCAAGGGATCGTGCGCCCGCCGACGGGAACCCAGACGGGCGCGGGCGTGCCGGCGGCAGCCCGGAGCCCGCACGCGGCCCTCGCAGGCGGCACGGCTCCCTCTCCCCTGACCGGCGCCATGGTCACCACGGCGTCCAGACGGTGGTCAGGGATTTTGGTCCCGGCGGTGGGTGGCCTACCCTCACCAAAACCAACTACATCGAGTGGGCCGCGGTGATGAGGGTGAGGCTCCAGGTGCGGCACATGTGGGAGGCAGTCCGGTACGGTGACGTCGACTACGACGAGGATCGGCGGGCACTGGATGCCCTCATCGCTGCAGTTCCGCCCGAGATGCAGTTCTCGCTTTCCCAGAAGCGGACTGCCAAGGAGGCCTGGGACGCCATCGCTGCGGCACGCATCGGCAGCGACCGCGCCCGCAAGTCCACACTGCAGGCACTCCGCAAGGAGTGGGAGAACCTGGCCTTCAAGCCAGGTGAGGATGTTGATGACTTTGCTCTCCGTCTCAACACTCTCTTGCAGAAAATGGTGCAGTACGGCGACGACACCTACGACGAGGAGAGAGCTGTCGAGAAGCTCTTCCGCTGCGTCCCTGAGAAGTACAGGCAGATCGCTCGCTCGATTGAATCTCTGCTGGACCTCTCCACGATGTCGATCGAGGAGGCGTTAGGTCGCCTCAAGGTCGTCGATGGTGATGAGCCACGGCCTCTCTCGGGGCCCATCACCATCGGCGGGAAGCTCCATCTCACTCGGGAGCAGTGGGAGGCCTCTCAGGGTGACAGGAGGAAGGGGGAGTCATCTTCCCCGACAGGCGGCCATAAGCCGCGCAAGGCGCGGGGAGGTGTCCAGCTACGGTGGGCGCGAAGACGTGCCGAGGGTGGCGCCCGCAGAGGCGCCCAGGGCGTTGCCACCGGCAACCACAAGCCGGCACGAGACGACACCTGCCGCAACTGTGGCAAGCTTGGCCATTGGGCCAAAGACTGTCGACAGCCACGACGCGGCCAGGCCCACGTCGCACGGGTGGAGGAGGAAGAGCCGGCTCTGCTCCTAGCTCACGCAAGCATCGAGCTACCTCCAGCGGCACCGGCCGCAGCGGCTTTCCTCCACCTTGATGAGCCGAAGGTACTCGTCTCCCTCTGTGACGGCTCCAGCAACGACAAGGCTGATGGGTGGTACCTCGACACCGGCGCCACCCATCACATGACCGGCCGACGGGAGTTCTTCACCGAGTTCGACTCCAGCGTCCGAGGCACCGTCAAGTTCGGGGACGCCTCCGGCGTGGAGATCAAGGGTGTTGGCTCCGTCACCTTCACCGCCAAGTCCGGTGAGCACAGGCTGCTCACCGGAGTCTACTACATCCCCGCGTTGAGGAATTCTATCATCAGCGTGGGACAGCTGGATGAGAACGGCTCACGCGTGTTGGTCGAGGACGGACTCATGAGGATTTGGGATCGCCGTCGTCGCCTTCTTGCCAAGGTAACCAGAGGCACTAATCGACTCTACATCCTCAGCGCGCAGGTCGCACATCCAGTTTGCCTCGCCGCTCGTCGGGACGACGAGGCGTGGCAGTGGCACGAGCGCTTCGGGCACCTCCACTTCGAGGCCCTGAAGCAGCTCAGTGCCAAGGAGATGGTGCGAGGCATGCCGTGCCTTGACCACGTGGAGCAGCTCTGCGACGTCTGCGTGGTGACAAAGCAGCGGCGGCTCCCCTTTCCCCAGCAGACGAGCTTCCGAGCCAAGGAGCGGCTCGGGCTCGTGCACGGGGACTTGTGTGGCCCAGTGACACCGGCCACACCAGGAGGACGACGTTATTTCCTGCTGCTCGTCGACGACCTCTCCCGCTACATGTGGGTGATGGTCCTCGGCAGCAAGGGAGAGGCTGCGGACGCCATCAGGCATGCGCAGGCTGCTGCAGAGGCGGAGTGCGGCCGCAAGCTGCGCGTGCTGCGCACCGACAACGGCGGCGAATTCACGGCAGCTGAATTCGCGTCGTACTGCGCTGATGAGGGCATTCAGCGCCACTACACCGCGCCGTACAGCCCACAGCAGAACGGCGTCGTCGAGCGGCGCAACCAGACGGTTGTGGGGATGGCTCGGGCCCTCCTCAAGCAGAGGGGGATGCCGGCCATCTTCTGGGGGGAGGCGGTGGTGACGGCCGCCTACATCCTCAACCGCTCGCCTACCAAGGCCCTCGATGGCAGGACACCGTACGAGGCTTGGCATGGGCGCAAGCCGGCGGTCTCCCACCTGCGGGTCTTCGGCTGCCTCGCGTTCGCCAAGGAGCTTGGCCACATCGGCAAGCTCGACGACAGGAGCACCCCAGGGGTGTTCATCGGCTACGCGGAGGGCTCGAAGGCCTACCGCATCCTCGACCCGGAGACACAGCGTGTGCGCATTACGCGCGATGTTGTGTTCGACGAAGGGCGAGGGTGGGTATGGGACAAGGCGGTGGATGATGGTTCGACTCCGACGTACGACGACTTCACCATCGAGTACGTCCACTTCGAGGGAGCTGGGGGAGTAGGCAGCTCTTCTTCACCGAGCGTGTCTACCCCAGTCCCCGAGCCTCCACCGACTCCAACACCAACACACCCTCGGGCCACGACTTCGACTACGACGAGCTCTTCGTCGACACCACCCCAGCCGGTGTCCCCACACGCTCCAGCACCAACAGCCACTCCTCCGGGCACGTCTACTCCGACGCCAGCTCGTGTTGAGCGCAGCCCGGTGGAGTTCGTTACTCCGCTCTCCCACGACGGGGAGCGCATCGACGCGTACCATGACGGCGAGCAGCTACGGTACCGTACGATGGAGGATCTTCTCGGCGACCAGCCGGTGCCGGGACTGGTGCCTCGCAACCTGGAGGCGCAGTTGCACCTTGCGTGCGACGACGGTGAGCCTCGGTCTTTTGCAGAGGCCGAGAAACACGCGGCATGGCGTGCCGCGATGCAGTCGGAGATGGACGCGGTTCAGGAGAACCGCACCTGGGAGCTTGCTGACCTCCCTCGTGGTCACCGCGCGATCACCCTTAAGTGGGTGTTCAAGCTGAAGAGGGATGAAGCCGGAGCCATCGTCAAGCACAAGGCTCGCTTGGTGGCACGCGGTTTCGTGCAGCAGGAGGGGATCGACTACGACGATGCCTTCGCTCCCGTGGCACGGATGGAGTCCGTGCGACTCCTTCTTGCGCTGGCTGCTCAGGAAGGCTGGGGCGTCCATCACATGGACGTCAAGTCGGCGTTTCTAAACGGCGACTTGAAGGAGGAGGTCTACGTGCACCAGCCGCCGGGATTTGTGATCCCCGGCAAGGAGGGCAAGGTGCTACGCCTGCACAAGGCCCTCTACGGCTTGCGGCAGGCACCGAGGGCGTGGAATGCCAAGTTGGATTCCACGCTCAAGGGGATGGGCTTCGAGCAAAGCCCGCACGAGGCGGCCATCTACCGGCGGGGCAATGGAGGAAATGCCTTGCTGGTGGGTGTCTACGTCGACGACTTAGTGATCACCGGCACCAAGGATGCAGAGGTCGCGGCGTTCAAGGAGGAGATGAAGGCCACCTTCCAGATGAGTGATCTGGGGCCTCTCTCCTTCTACCTGGGGATCGAAGTGCACCAGGACAACTCCGGGATCACGCTTCGACAGACCGCCTACGCCAAGCGCGTCGTTGAGCTGGCTGGGCTCACCGATTGCAACCCAGCTCTCACTCCGATGGAGGAGAGACTGAAGCTGAGCCGCGACAGCACAGCGGAGGAGGTGGATGCTACACAGTACCGACGTCTTGTGGGGAGCCTTCGCTACCTCACCCACACACGGCCGGACTTGGCCTTCTCCGTCGGCTACGTCAGTCGGTTCATGCAGCGACCGACGACGGAGCACCAGCAGGCTGTGAAGAGGATCATCCGCTACGTTGCGGGGACTCTCGACCACGGTCTCTACTACCCGAGGTGTCCTGGCAAGGCACACTTCGTCGGGTACAGCGACAGCGACCACGCCGGCGACATCGACACCAGCAAGAGCACGAGCGGGATTCTCTTTTTCCTCGACGAGTGCCTCGTTAGCTGGCAGTCAATCAAGCAGCAGGTGGTGGCCCTGTCCAGCTGCGAGGCCGAGTACATGGCAGCATCCGCCGCTTCGACCCAGGCGCTCTGGCTTGCTCGACTGCTTAGTGATCTCCTCGGCAGAGATACTGGAGCGGTGGAGCTCAGGGTGGATAGCAAGTCCGCTCTGGCCCTGGCAAAAAACCCCGTTTTTCACGAACGGAGCAAGCACATCCGAGTGAGGTACCATTTCATCCGAAGCTACTTGGAGGAAGGGAGCATCAAGGCGAGCTACATCAACACCAAGGACCAGCTTGCGGATTTGCTCACCAAACCCCTTGGGAGGATCAAGTTCCTTGAGCTTTGCTCCCGGATCGGGATGGCTCAACTCTCCCACAAGACGGCGCACAAGACTTAGGGGGAGAATGTAGGAATAAGTCTTGGCTGGTTGGTCTTGGTCTTGTGGTGCCTTTTTTTCCTGCTTTTCAGCTTTCTAGGACAGCATCTCTACTTTCAGTTTGGATGCTCTAGGACAGTTAGGACAGCAGTTTGTTGAGATGCTCTAGGACAGTTTGTTGGGATGCTCTGCTCTAGGACAGTTTGTTGGGATGCTGACAGCACCCTCTTAGACTAGCATGGCTGCATGGCTGCTACAAGCAGCTATAAATATGTATCCAATCCTCTTTGGGAGGACATGGCTTTTGTGTTTAGTGAATGAAGAAAACCAGAAAATTGCCCCATCTCGAGTGCCATCCTCTTCTCAATGAGAGTAACCATTGAAATTCTAACATCTGCTATGCAGAAAAAGCAAAGATTAGCAACAAGACTTGCACCTGCTGTCATGGATAGCTTCAGCAGAGACATGCATTTGCATATGTAAGAATGAACGTGCATATGCAAGTTCACATGAAGAAGGGTATAGGTTCTCACAGGATGTACTTTCCCCTCTCCCATCTTGTTGGCATAAATGTTTTTCTTCTCCTTTCCTTCTTTTTCCACAACCTGACCATTTACATTCCCGTTGACATTTTCTGCAGCATCTGTCTGACTCATTTCCTTTTCTGTCACCCCTTCCATGGCCAGCTTATGCTCTTCCTTTTTATTTCTAGCAAGCTCTCTTTTTGATGCTGCAATAGCTTGTTGCTGGTCAATCTTTTCATCTATATTCTGTCTTACAGCAGAAGTTGTTATGGCTTCATCTACCAGTTCCCGCAGAATTTTAAGCTTCACGGCAGTGTGAACAAGTCCATAATGCCCCCTTCTTACAGTTGATAAACTACTGGAGAATTCTTCTTTACTTGTCATTTCCAAGAAATCACATAGATACTCAGCCCAGGTGACCAATGTTACCTACGCATAGTGCAAGTTAACAAGAAAGGACAAAAAAATATGCATGCTTAAATGATGGATAAGGCAAAGTCACCTTTAATTTCCTTCTCTTGTTCTGGAGAAACATAAAATACCCGCCTCCATCTTTAATGAGCAAATGGAAGAGTGCAGCATGTAATTCCACAAGAAGAACAAGGTTGCTTTCTTTGTGGCAGATTGCATTCTCCAGGTCCGAGAGGGAAAATGGAGACAAGCATAAAATCCTCCCGTAAGTCATGCAGAAGTCCCAAACCATAAGTAGATCCCCAACAGAATCTACAGGCACTCTGAAATCTGTAGACAGTGGACGTCTTTTTGACAGACTGGGATCATCTGCTGTAGGCCTTAATAAAAGATCATCAATTGGCTCACCTGCATAGTCATGCAAAAAGTGAACAATAAGAAGCTGGGCAAAAATGTAGTTGTATGGAACATCAAATGAACTGAGAGGATGACATGGTTATCTGTTAAGTCACCTTTCTTCAATTTTTTTCTGACATCATCTGTGGTTCCATTCTCGAGTCCTCTCCTCAGTTTTGGCAACCCTTGACCATTCTACAAGCCATGGTTTCTTTAGGTTTAAGATAATAAGGAACACAGTAAATAAAATGAGGGAAGATGGTTACCAATAAGTCTTTTGGGGGCTCAGTGGGTATTCCATATTTCTTTGCAAGATTTGCATGTATAATCCATGGGGAATTCTGTGATGTTGACTCCCTAATATATATTTTCAGCATGCTACGACTAGCACGTGCCTTCTTGCGAATTACTAGATCATCGGCTTGAAGAACTGAAGTGTTAGTCTCTGCATTGTCCTGACCAATCCAACCCACCTCATACATCTTGGTGTTACCAGAGCCAATAATAACCTTTAAGATCTTGCAAGCAGACACAGAACCATCTTTTCTACCATTTAGTTCTAATCCTTCAAAAAAGTCTTCTTGGAGAATACTGTATATTTTGTTGACAAGGTCAGTCAAGCTAAGAGTGCCTGAAGCAAATGTAGTAGAAATTCCACTCTATCAAAATCATCAAATAATCCAAAATATTGTAAAGGGAATAATTAACTTGCCTTCACAGAAGAGAATTCAAAAAACTATATAAGAACACTAATGATACACATCAGTGATACCACTCAAAACACCAATAATATAGTACAGATACTAAATATACAGTAGATCAATAAGTCACAGATTGTCCCTTTTGCAAACTATAGTGAAGTTGAGGACTAGGCAAACAACCTCCACATGGGCGCACAATTACAGGACGACATCTCATCAAAATTATAAAAAAGAGAGATTTGTCACACAGAAAGCCTTCTGCGTGTTACACTACACCCCAAGGGGAAAACTACGGACCTAATATATCTTTCAAACAGTATTAGCTCAGTCAAACTTCATATAGCACAGGAAAAATGAGAAAATGCATAGACAGAATACTAATCAATTTGGACACAGACCAACAGTGTGCACCATAAAGAAATAAAAAACCATTGCATTTTCTGGAAATGTGCAATCATAATAACGCTGCCAAGAACTGTAACAGGTTTAGGAAAAGCTTGGTGGTCATACTGTATTGAATCATATGTAGAACAGGCGCTATTAACTCTCTTGGCAACTGTTGAGCCTTCTCTGCAGCATGATGCTCTGAGACCAGCGCTTCCTCATATGTTAAATTTGATTTTCCAGACACCTTACATGTCCAAACTCTTTCACGATAAAGGTTTACCCTATTCAGGTATTCCCTAATAAATAGTCAAGGACATAACCATATTACTTCAACATAATCTAATACAAGTACATAATATCAGATTAGAATGGAAATTATTCTTCATATAAAGGACAACTCAATAAGCAGCCATTAAGGCATGAAAGAGGATACTGGTAATCTCGGAATATCTCCTTGGTATACCGAACTTGGAACACCTTGTCCTCTGGATTCAAGTCCTTTGGCGGATCCAGTAAGAAGAACGGTCTCCTTTTTAAGAGAGGCATTGCATCCCTGTAATTCAACAAAAGACACCTCCATAAGTTTTTAAACTATTCACTTCTTCATGGGAAGCTCTAAATTAGCAACAGCCAAATCACAGATAAAGCATAAATATCTTATAAGAAGATATGGCATATCATATAGTGTCAAATTTTTCATAACATTAGTTCAATACTGCATGGGATATGATAGTTTATCACATTTAGCACCAAATGGTTAAAAAAAGTCAATACAATTTTCTTTTGTCGTTTGTGTCAATCCGACTTAGAACGCTTCACGTGGATGCTAATCTTCACAACAAAATTAAACAGCGATGAGTTAACATTTATCTGATGTAACCACACAAATATAAACTAAAATGCAGCACCGCAACACTCATAAATCCAATGAGCAACTAGTTCTTTTACTTGGTGTAGCTGCACTAACACTAAGTCAACAATACACCCTTCATGTTTCGTTAATCCAGCAGCAACGTGTTGATATCCCTATACCGCAAGAACTAACAAGCCCCCGAATGCACAGCCACAAAACACACTTATCATTTCCATCCTTCGGTTCGGTCGACAAGCACAAATTTATGGTAGAAACAGAGTAGCCACTTTTAGCAGACAAGAATGCAGCATGAAGTAGTCATTCCTCAGCTCCAATCCACGTCCGATTGAAGGATTGAGAACACCTAGGGGTAAACCACCAGTTCACCACCCAATGCCCCCCACCTTCAAATCATCAACCCAAGCTCCCCGCAAAACCCCCATTCAGTGCACCGAAGCTCTCCCATTCCCCACGCCGAATCCCCAAAACCCCAATTCCCCCCAAATCGAGCGGCTCCAAACCCTAACCCAACCCCCAAACACAACACAACACAACACCACCCCCGCCGCACCCAACCGCCAACCTGACACCTCCGTAGTCCGTACCACCCTCGGGCACGAACAAAACCGCACAACTCAAACCCGCGATCCTGCGTCACCCACCCCACAGCCCAACACGACGGCGAAAGAGAGCAAATCATTATTCCCGAGGCGGCCTCACCCAGAAGTCCGGGCCCGGGTGGAACGCTACGGCCGACGGCGCGCCGCAAAAAAGGCGACGCTCGCCGGGGGAGTAGCTGCGGAGTCGGAGGTTCCAGCGGGGGCGGAGCGAGCGGCGCGCGCCCGGCGGCCTCGCCGGGCTCCGGTGGCGCGGGCCGGAGGCGAGGCAGCGACGGCGAGAGGAGGACGGAGGGGGGAGAAATCGGAGAAACGCAGGCGGCAGCAACGGAGAAGAGGAGAGGGAGCGACGCGTGGCTCAGGCGAAATTTATAGCGGTTTTTTGATGTGGCCAGAAATGGGCCTGTTTCCTTGGAGAATCTCTCCCGTCTCGTGGAGGTTGTTTTATTTTGCTCCTGGGTACCTCGGTTTTAAGAGTATTTCTGCACCCACCGTCCCCAGAGGACTTGATGATTAATGAATACTCCCTCCCTCTAGAAAAAAAAATCTCCCATACCAGTACAACGAATCTAGACAAAGAACTGTTCAGATTTGTTATACTATGTGGAGTCACATCCCCTACTAAATTATTATTATTTTAGAATGGCGAAAGTAGTATTTAGCCGCCGTTCGTGCCAGCCGTCGTCGAAGCCACCACCGCCACCACCTAGGGTTAGATTGGAAGGGGATCGAGGGTGTGGAGCGTGGGCGACGAGTGTGATTTACCACACCTTATCAGGCTTACATAGGACTAAGGCCAGAGCATTTATATTCTTTTGAAATTTCTCTCATCTTTTCTCTCGAGAGTGATAAGATATTGTCTCGAGTGTCCACAGCCAATTACACAAAAATTGTGGAGTCCATCGGAAGTGTCACTTTTTGCGTTGGATGTTCAACTTTTGTCTAATAATAAATACTCGTAGTGTTCTCACGTAAGGTAAGGTAGGTAAGGCTATTGAAGAGATAAAGCCTATTTAATATATCTCGATTCATGAGCCGATCTGCCAATGTTAGGTATGGGGCTAGAAATCAATTCTTTTGAGATTACTTTGATGAGGTAGAAAAATCGACTTATTCTTTTACGGAGGAAGTATATATCTCAAAACGTTCGGTATAGTTGAAACTCATAGTCATAATGTGTGAGTCCGTGACTGACTAGCTGGAACACTAAGGTCTGAACATTACAAATAGCATTTGATGTGAGTTCATGTAATGTTTCATGTACTCCTACTACCTTCATCCACACAATTGTAGCTAGTGAAGTTCAAATAATATCGCGCATTGGACAGGGGAGAAAGATTGAAGATGGCCAATTCACTAAACGGAATTAGGGTGTTACCTCTCATCGGGAAAGTGTGAAACATGTCTAAACCTTTGTCTCCTTTCATCCATCTTCTTTTAGGTTAATTTCTTAAGCTACCCTTTTATTATTGCCAAACATCGACACAAACCATGAAGATTTATTATTGGTAAAATAGAGTTAGCTTAAATACAACTAGATCTATTTTTTTTGCGGGACAATACAACTAGATCTATAAATCTGAAGAGAGGGTGAAAAGAAACAAGCCAATTTTTTTAAACGACTCGCACGAGACGGTGCGAAGTTCTATTGATAGAGTAGGAAAAAATTACAAGATTACAACCTTGGAGGGTCGTAATCAGGAAAAAGGAAAAAATATATCACCACCCACACACCGACATCACCAACACACAAGCCCAGGAGAAGGCTAGCACCAGATCGACCGCCGCTAAGCGTGACCGACCGCCACTAGTCAAAAAATTTGGTGTAAATGTGAGTTTGTAAAATGGGTACTGAAAAGGAAACATTGCTTGGTTAGCTGAAGTGATGTTATTCGGTGCAAGTGTGAGGTGCATCACCCAATTATACCTTCCAACTTTCCTTGGTTTATTTTTAATTAATTACTGCGTATATTAGTTGAAAGAAAATTGAAAAAATATTTTTTTATTATTTTGTGTTTATATACCTATATAGCGAAAATTTGCACAAATATACCTATTCCCCGATGTGGTTACGCGGGATCGAGGCGGTCCCGCACTACCATTCCACGGGGACCGGTGGTCCCGCAGCACGGACGCTCGGTACCGCGGACCGGCCAAGCGGCACCGCGGTCACGCAGGCCGGCCGCGCGTGAGCGGGCAGCCAAGCTGCACATGCACACTGTTTTGACACTGTTCATGAGCCGGTTCCACGTTGGATCGGCGGCACCGCTGTTTGAACAGTGCAGAACAGTACTGATACCGTAAAAAAATGTGGAACCGAGCCGCTCCCGCACGCCCGTTCCGTGGGACCGTGCCGCTCCCGAGGTGCTCCCGCATCCCCGCCGCTCCCGCATACTCGTGCCGCGGGCTGCATCGCTTCCGCGCAACCGCCGTGCGGGACCGGCAGGCGCGACCGTGCTTACCGTACCGCTCCCGCTAACCTAGGATGAGGTATATTTTCGCAAATATATTTTTGTAAGTATATTTTTGTAAATTGAAAGGAAACAAAAGTATATTTTCAATTTTATTTCCCTATTAGTTATCACGTGAGAAAATAAATAGACGAAGGTGACACGTGAATTGGGCTCGGAGACGCAGTTGCCCACGTGGCCGCACGTACAGCACCACGCACGGCCTATTTGGGGCCCACTTGAGGCCTGGGCCTTCATTTCCTCCGGTCAGCAAAGGAATAATGGCATTATCTTTTTACTTGTGCTTACACTTATCAGCTAAAATTTTAATTTTTAACTTTAAATTTGGAGTTAATTTTGAGGTTCTTCCATTAAAGTTTTTTTCGATCTTTGATTTTAGATCGCTAAAAACACGTATATAAAAGTTTTATTCATAATTTTTTTTTTCGTTTGCAAATATGTCGTTTGGCTTATTCCGCAGATAAGCCAAACGATGATGCTGTAAGTTCACTTGCCATCCCTAAACTTTAGGCTGAGTTTGATTTATATCTGAAATCTTCACCCTTAAACTATAAAAAAAATACAACTTAGGTACATGGCATTATATATAGGCCTCATCTTTTTATGTTTATTCTTAACTGGCATATGATTGGGCCCACTTGTCGGTCTTAGAAGAGGAGGAGACCTCGATGTCTGGATGGGTATGCGCACGTCGAGCGATTTGATAATTTACCACTCCTTTAAATGAGTTTTGATTATTTGACATCATGATCCACTTTCATTCACTCAGATGGTCCCACTTATCATCCTCACAAGTGCCAATTTAAATAATTGGGCAACGAAAAAAAGTGTCAAATTATCAAATTTTTCGCGCGGGTCACGGGCGATGGAGGAGATCGAGGGCCGGAGCTCGCGGAGGACGACGAACAGCGCCGCGGCCCCACCGAGCACGCCGCCGTTCCTGGTCGCCGCCGCCACCTTCTCTTCCGGCGAAGCCGTGTCACGTACTCCCCTTGCTCGCCTCCTACTCGTCCATCATCCCTCCTGGGACGCAAGAACCAAAAGAAGAATCGTACTAATCCATAAAATCCCCAAAGGATCAAACAAGCTAGCCATGCAAAAGAAAACATCACAATTTAGGATGGAACAAGAAGGCTAAACGAGACAGGCGAGAATCATCAGACAGGTTGGCCGTTAGCCTCGACGACCGATCCAACAATTACCACGCCACGAACCATAGTGAACCACGAGAGCTCTCCTCTCAACAAGCGGGTAAACCATGATTCCGGCGAGGAACCACGAACGCGGCGCCGCCGCGGATTTCTGTTACGGCACCAAGTAAAAAGCCTCCACCCGATGGCGCGCGTGTCGGATGTGCAGGGTGAGCTCTTCGCGCTGGCCGTCGTCTTGCTGTGGCGACCGCAGCGAGCATGAACCACGAGCAGCGGTACAGCTGGGGCTGGATGGACGGACGGACAAAGGATTTTCAACACATAAGTACCAAAAGTACCATGACACCTATCATTTGCATACGACTCAAATAGTTATAGAAAAAAATTAGTAACATTGTTTGTGATGATATAAGTTTATATACAAACATGCAAGACTAAATTCGATCTACAACTAGAGAAATAAAAATAATAAAATCAGATAATGAATAGTACCCGTACAATGCAGATAAAATTTGTTATTTTTGTTTCTTTATATATCGATCGAATTTACACTTACATGTTTACATATTGTCTTATATTATCATGGACTATATTATCAAATTTTATGAAATTTTTTATAACTGTTTGAATTACATGCATACACCTAGGCATCTAGGTATAGAAAATACTTTTTGCTGGATGGACGACGAGACTGCTATGTCGCCAGGAACAGCATGTTCGACGGGGGCCGCGGCACTGGTTGTCGTTCTCTGCGAGCTCCGGCCCTCGATCTCCTCCACTGGCGCCTCCGCCATCTCCTCTCAGATTGCCAAATGGCCCGGTCATCTATCATGAAAGCAAAAACAGGAAAAACGGGTCTATACTGTCATGGGACATAAGTTACGCACGGTTTTGTATAGTTTAGGGGCGAAGATTTCTGGTATCGAGGATAAGGGAGGTCAAGACGTTAAAGTTGAGGGACGACAAGTCGACTTATTCTGTCAGGAAATAGAAGGAATAGTTGGGCCCAAACTCAAAATTTGGCCCAATGAATGAATCGCTAAAAGCTACTCTGAATTTTACTTCTAGCCTATCTTTCAATCTCCATAACTAGGCCCAACCGACAAAGCCCAATTAGACTTTGCGCTGCTCTTCTCTCTTCTTCCTTTTTTCCCAAAAAAAACGTCAGTTCGTTGCCGATGTTTTATATAAAAAACAATGTGACACATTTTAAAGAGTAAATACGAATAAACCTTATAGTGCACTGTTAATTAGGAAAACCTGAGCGAAAATCACAACCACAACAACTAATCTAACCTAAACTACCACGACCTAAACCCAACGTGAGGTATTGTCACCGAGCTTATCGTAGAAGTGACACAACAGCCTCGACTACACAAGGCATGTGTTACCATTGCGAACTTGCCACCCAAGTTACATAGGAGCTTCGACTTCACTGTAAACATGTCATTATTGTCAAACCCAACGTCAAAAACAAATAAACAGTTTCGACGTTCCACGATAGAACATCAAGATTTTCAGTACTCTCTTGGAGTTGCAGGATGCAATGTTTCAGTTTAGTCATGGTTGCTATCTTCTTGGAAAGATAGTTCTCCAACCTGTAATTTGATTAATTTTCACCCTCGCAAAAGGAAAACCTGTAATTTCCATATTGGAAATTGAACAGCTGAAATAGATGAGCCGGCTCCAATAGTCCAATACAAGAGTTTGTTTTTTTAAAAAGAGATGTTTGGTTAATCTTTGAGAAAAATAATTGTTTTTTAAAAGCAGTTGTTTA